ACCAATTCGGAGCGCCCTGCCCCACCCCCAGCTGCCCCGTGCTTTAGCCTCTAACAGCCCTCAGGCCTGGAGCAGCTTTGACCTTGGGTACAGAGAGCCAGAAACCACTTCAGGTAGTGACAGACAGATGGCCTTGCCTTGAGTCTGACCAACTCGGAGCGGTAACCCACACTGGAGAGCCTCCCCCCCCCCACCCCCCACCAACTCGCCTGGCATTGCACTCTGGCTCTGCTCCTCCCCTGCTTTGCCCTGCCCCCTCCTCCCCCATTCCCTCTGGTTCCCCTGGGAGCATGTCCTTGATGGACCCATTGCATGAACCCTAGTCTCAGGGATCGGCCCCAGGAGACTTCTCTATCTGGTGCCCACAATTATGCCCCAAGGAGGGTAGTATACTGAATCTCATTTTGCAAAGAAACTGAGACTCTGACCGGCTCACAACTGTAAGGGGTCAAGCCGGAATCTGGATCCAGACACAGGAGACAGTGCTATCTTTTTTTTAAATGTCTATTTATTCATGTTTGAGAGAGCGAGCGAGCAAGGGGGTGGGGGGGGGTGGGGTAGAGAGAGAGGGAGATAGAGAATCCTGTGCAGGCTCCACGCTGTCAGCACAGAGCCCAAAGAAGGGCTCGAACTCACAAACTATGAGATCAAGACCTGAGTCGAAATCAAGAGTGGGACTCTTAACCCACTGAGCCACCCAGGTGGCCGGAGACAGTGCTTTTAATCCCTGAATTCTACCACCTCCTGGACGTCCCCTGGGCTCCTCCTCCTCTACCCCTTGGGGATAATCATCTATAATTCCTGGGGGCAGGACGTGATTGGGGCAAGGAGCTGGGCTCTGTCAGAGATAATCCTCCTGGGTCGCTGCCCATCTCACACTTCCGGCCCCAGCCTAGGTCCCCACAATGGAATAGTGCGGTATGGGGAGGTCTGGGCTCTCCAATGTGGATGTCAGAGCCATGGCTCCCTGAGGCCACCCATTGTGGAAAATCACACCGGCCTCATGTTGATTCTTGAGTCAAATCCTGGCGAATCCTGACTTACCCCCTCTCCCCTTGTTTCCTCCCCTGTGAGACGGGGATAATAACCCCGTGGCCAGGATGAGACAAACAACAGACGGGAACTTGGCTAGGACAGAATTGGGCGCAGTGGGGGCTCCTTCCTGCTCAGATAATCTCTCTGAGCCTCAGTTTCTTCATTTGTAAAATGGGGATAATGATATTGCAGTGCAGCCATAGCGAAGAACGACTCTATCCCCAGAGCTGCCGTGAAGGTTCTGGGGCACGGGCTCTGGAGTCCCAATCCTGGGTGACCTGGGACTAGTCACTTAACCTCTCTGGGCCCCCTTTTCCTCGTCTGCTTAGTAAGAACTGTGTGAGGGAGAACAGGTAGAAGTCCTGCACAAAGTAAGTGCTGTTACCACTGAGTGAAGGGCTTGGCCCGTGCCTGGCATGTTGTTAGTGCTCAGTAAACGGTGGCCGTCCTGTTATCGGAGCTCCCCGGCCCCTGTAGTGAGGAAGGTCACCTCCACGCACCCCCCGCGGCCCTCTGGCTTCAGGCGCAGGCCCTGCAGGCTGGCTGCTGTGCTCAGGTCGGTTGGATGGGGTTGACTGCACAGAACACAGGCCCTGGGTGTCCCCTCCACCTCTGGGGGCCCGTTCATGCCTCCAGCTCTCCCTGCAAACGCACCCCTTCCAACCTCTTCCCTCCGCACCTAAGGGCCCCTCCTTCACCCACCTCGCTCCCCACCTGCCTCAGCTCATTGGCGGTGACTCAGGAGAGAGCCGAGGCCGAGGCTGCGTGGGTGTGCGATCCTTCCCCGACTGGTCTCCCTTCCCACAGCTCCTGAGATTGCGGGGCCCGGCACCTGAGGAGCCCGCCAGCCCCTGGGACCCCTCTTCTCCCCAGAGAGCAGTCTGACGTGGCAGTCCATGCTGGGGGGGGGGGGCAAGAAGTTCCCCGAGGGGTCCTGCAAAGGCCTCTCCAGCTCCCGGGCCTCCGTGTGCTGGTGTTGACACGTTCCTGCCTAAGTGGGGAAAAGCAGCTTCCAGAATGTCTGTCTGATGCCTCCTGTAATGAGAACAGGCTCAAATGCCCAGGACAGACAGAGCAGCCCAGAGTTGGACCGACTGCCCAGAGAGGGGGGCGGCGGCTTCGGCCCCTGGCCTCTCAGCAGCCAGCCTGGCCTTATCCTCCCTCCCATCAGGGGAGCCAGCGGCCAGGCCAGAAGCCCTTCGTTGCTTCCCGTGCACCCAGGAACTCGGCCGGGCACTGGGCCAACCCGAGCAGGGGCTAGGCCCATCCGTTTTCCAGGCAAAACTGAAACTGGGAAGGGGAGGATTTGGTTCTGAACCCTAACCACCTCCTTTGTTAAACAAAACCAACCCAGAAAACAAACAGTGAAAACGTCCAAATGCACCGCGTGCAGCTCGGCCGGGCTCAGGTCGTGGGTGGAGTTGAGGCCATGTTGAAAGGGCCCGAAAGTCCCGGGCCTGGGCTATGCCTGGACTCGGGGACACAGCCACACGTCCCCACCCCTGGGACTATCACAGGCTGTGGGGAAGAGAGACCGAAGGGGCTCCAGTTCCACGGAAGGGGCCCGAGGCGCCGTGCCAGGGGAGGGGGCATGCAGACCCCAGGGTGCCCAGATACACGGTGAGGTCTGGCTGAGGGCGTCCTGCTGCTGAGAGCCACGCACCCCCCAGCCCACCCCCTTCCCTACGGGACCCTCTTCGACGCTGTGACTTTTGCCAGCTCTCCCCTAAGGGGCAGGGTCCCGCCTTTCCTCTCCTCCTCCCGGAAGCAGCCCCCAGACTCAATGGCTCCCGGGTCCTCTCTCCTAGACCCTGCCCCCCACCCCTCCTTCCACCACCCTCCTTGTATCCCCTTCTGTTACCCGAATGTCCCCACTGGTCCCCCCCCCACCCTCCTCCCCTGCCAACCTAGAGACCCCTGATGACAGATTGCCCGGTCTTGTTTCGAATTCAAAGAAGCTCGGCTTTAGCAAAAGGGCTAAAACGCTCCGGAGCGTTTAAGCTCAAACGCTAGGCTTCAAAGGCATCTCCCGCTAATGAGATTAAATGAGATAATGTGCGCGCACTTTCAGACGGGAGCCCCCAGACCACCACAGGGAGCCTTTGCTGCCCCTTTGAAGTCAGGAACTTGAGAGGGAAGGTTTGCGGTTTTGCAGGACTTGTGACGCTGGCCGGTGGAAGGGGCCCCCCAGGGACGGGGTGACGCAGCAAGCTGCAGGCATGAGTGTGTCAAGGGCTGTGTGTGTGCATGCACGTGACTCAGAAGCTCCTGCCACATCGCACAGAATCTCATCTCTCCACCCCCCTCCCCGGGGGTCTCACTCAGCTGCTCTGTCTTGTGGTCACTGTGGTCAACACAATCCCTTCCAGCTTGGCCGGAGCCCCTTACCCTTGGGTCCCCCCCACCGAGCAGAGACTGGTTGTCATTTCTAATATGACTTTGCAGGAAGAACAGGTGAACACCCAATTGTATTTATGCTGGCTGTCTGGCCTATAGTTCTTTCTTAAAGCCAGATTTCCCCTTCTAAGAGACTCCAAGGAAACAGCAAAAACATTTTTGCACCTCTGTTTCTCTACTTAGGATAGCCACACAGACGCCTAAGTGTCCATCTGGGCACACGGGGATTCTTCTGGACAATCTCTGCTGACTCAGGGCCAACTGTGGTCCCTAGGCATCGAGCTGGGGGAAGGGCCCTCCATATCTCCTTTTTCCTACCCTGTTCAGGCACTGCACTGGGAGCTTCGCCTTGTTAACTTACTTATTCCGAGCAATGGCGGTGAACACAGAGTCCGGAAAGGTCAAGTTCCTTGTCTAAGGTCACAGAGTTAGAAAAAACAGCTTCAGTTATTTAATGGATTCTCTGCTGGGCTGAAAGCCAATCCACATTATATATGTGATACCACTGGACCCTTCCAAAGCACAGCAAAAGTTTAGGCGCTAATAACTAATAATACTGTTCCCCTTTTAGAGATGAAGAAACGGATACACAGAGAAGGGAAGTGATTTGTCCACTGGGACGCTTCTAGCTTTCCGAGGGCTTTGCCCCAGGGACTACAGTAAATTTAAGGATTTGCAAGGGCTCAGGTTCAATGTAGGCAAGAAGCAGGTGCCTGTGGGCGTGGCCCAGAGCCCAACTCCCTCAGTGCCCCGGCCGGGCCACGGTCCCATCTCTTGGACTCAGCGGGAGAAGGAGCTGGGCATGCTGGGGTTCTGCTAGGCTCTGCCACTGCCCCTTCCCCGTCCTCCTCCAGCAGCCCCTGAGTTCTCCTGCCCTGACCCAGGAGAACCTCAGCCGAGTTCCTGGGTCATCCCCTCGGACTCGGGGCAGCCCTTCCTCCTGGTGCCCAGTCCCCAGGGACCCTACTTTTTCTAGCCTCCTCTGTACTGTCCGCTCCAGCAGCGGACTGGCAGGACCCCCAGGCTTTAATCCTGTGTGACTCCAAATACATGAACTCACCTTTCTGAGCCTGTCTACCTCCTAAGATGCAACTATGCACCTGCTACGACTCCCCCCGCCCCCCGAAAAGGCGACGTAAAGCTTTCCTTACCCCACACCTCCTTTGCTGTTTCTCATTTTTCATTTTCAGGGAGCGCTATTTATACAGTTCTTAGTCTGTGCCAGGCACGGTTGTAAGCACTTCTATTGCTAATTTAATCGTCATAACTATCCTGTGAGGGAGGCACCCTCAACCTCTTATTTTACAGAGGAGCCCTCGGGGGGCACCGAAAGGGTTACAGAATTCGCCCAAGGTCACACAGCCTTTTGAAACAAAGTGAAATATAATTGACGTATAACAGTATCTTGCACGCAGCTTTTAAGAGGCAGAGGCAGGAATCCGTCCCAGGCAGCCTGGCCCCAGGGTTCACGCTCTTAACTTCCTCTTCTATGCTGACATAGTGTGTATAAAGCATTTTAGTATAAAACTCAACCGAAAGGAAATGCTTTTAATAAGCAATAACGGTCGTTACCATGTGGCCTCAAACGGGCCTCTGTGTTTTTTGTCCCTGCAGTGGACCGGTGATACCCCCCTGGCAGCATTCGGCAGAATAATGGGGGCGAAGTGCCCATCACAGATCCTAACACGGAGCCAGCCATGGGCTCTCGGTGGTCCTCCTCTCTGGAAGGTGTCGGTGGAGAGGGGTCGGGAGTGACTTGAGTTAGATACATCCGCTGAGCCAGCAAGAGAAGGTGTAGAAATACCACCAGCCTTGGGGGGTTGGGGGAGGGGCCCGGGCGAGGCAGCAGGTGGCTTAGCAGGTGCCCAAAAGCACAGGGGTCTCTGGGGGTCCAGGTGGGGAGAATCGGAAAGAGGGATGTGAACACTCATGGGCCAGCTGATCTTGCCAACAACCCTGAGAAAACAAGAGTCTCAGAGAAGTCGAGAAAAGAGTGAGTCCATTACAGGCCTGGGTGGTTTGGGCTTGGGTATCAGGAGGCAACGGGCTGTGCCCCCAGGATGGTTTTGTGGTTCCCCATCAGGTTGCCCTTCAGCGGGATGAAGGGCGTCAGCTACAGAGTCAAGGTCCAGGTAAGGAGTAAGTGTTTCCTACAAAGGTGCAGCGAGCTGGGGCCCTGGGCTGAGGAAGGAGGAGGGGCCTTGTTAGGAAAGGGACAGCGGGTGGAGTGAACCAGCAGCGGGGCGGGGGGCTCTGTCCTGGGAGGGGGCAGGGCCCAGCCGGGTATGGGAGGGGGGTGCAGATCCCCTCCCAGAAGACTCTCCCCACGTACAGGTCTCAGAGTCACCTGCCCTGGAACCCGTGGCTAGAGGGTGACAGGACCCGTCTCCGGGGAGGCTGTCGGCTGTTTTCAGAGGCAGGAAAGCCACTTCCTGGGGGCCCAACTGTGCCCTTTGAAACACCAGGCCAGACCCAGCAGCCTCTGTCTTCACTTTAAACCAGAGGAGGGCCGCAGTGGACTCACCGGGAGAAGCCATGACCCTGAGAGGGCAGATTCGTTTTTCTGGAAAGCCTCTTCCCAGCTTTTCCATTTCCCCCCCGGTGGCAGCGACAGCCCAGCCCGGGTCCAGTGGCCCCCCCGAGTGAGGTCAGCGCAGTGATGAGGTCTGACCTCAGTCAGTGTTGCCATGGGGACGCCCCGGATGCCACTGCCACCTGCTGAGCAGCACCTTTCTTCCAGAAGGAGCGGGAGGGGACAGTGACTGATGCGGACTGTGTGTCACCCTGCTCTCGGCTGCCAGGGTTGTTTCTCCCCAGACACATATTGCCACGCGCGGGGCGGGCCAGGGGACGTTCGCGGGGCCTGCTGGCTGCGCTGTGTGCGTCCGCGTGTTTGGGGCGCGGGGAGAGGCACTTAGGAGAGCCCCCAGGGTGCCTCATTTTCCTCTCTCCCTGCGCCAGGCTGGGATGCTGATCACGGTGCTCCTGGTGGACCCAGACTGACATTTGCAGCAACCTGATCTCCATAGCAACCAGCTGTGACATCACAAGGCACCTACAGACCCTTTCCCCGCGACAGAGGAAGCGTGACTACTCATTTAGGGGCAGAAAACGCTCCTGAGGCCCCTCACGTGGTAGGGGAAGTGGGCGTAGAAGGGCGAAGCGGGAGAGGGTCTCTCCCCAGAAATACCAGGTTTTTCCTCTGAGCTGCCTACCAAGCCTTCTCTGGAGGTGTGAGTGGAGCCTAAACGAAGTCTCCCTCCCCCGCTTGTTCCCGTCTCTCATCCCTTCAAAATTACATCTCAGTGTCTTCAACCGTAAAATGGGGGTAACAGAAGTCACTCTTCATTGAGGGATTATTATGTGCCAGGCGCTGTGGGCTTTCTCATTTGCCTCGTGACAACCCGGTAAAGCGTGTTTTCCTTTTTGAACTCTCCCTTTTGTAAGTGGAGGAAAATGACACACAGAGAAAGGATTAGAACCCAGTCTGGCTCGAGAGCGTACCCACAGCCTCCCTGGCACTCAGCGGCACCTCTGTTTCCAGCCGTGCTGGGCCAAACAGTTCGACGCGGGCTTCAACTCACTTCGCGCTGCCGGCATCTTGCCTCACGCGAGCACAAGGCCTTTTTCTTTTTCTGCCCTGGGGCTTGTGCAGTGCCCGACACGGACTGCCGGCAGGAGCATGCTCAGCATGGGGACGTGCCGGGGGCAGTTAGCTTCCACTGGGCCAACAACCTCTCACCCGTGGGACGTGGGAGCCGGTGGAGGGATGCTTCCGTCAATCTGTCATCTGGCTGACAAGCCCAAGGATCCTTCTGTACACCGTTCAGAGGGGCCTGGAGGCACTGAGTCCCAGTCACCCGCGGCACTGACCTAAAGATGCTCTGTGATGTTGGCTTTTTTCAGTTGTGTCGGTCCCCTGTTTCTGCTCCCTGGGATCACCTCTAAAATAAACTGCCTGCACACACGTCCTTGCATCAGGTTCCCCTGATGAGGGAACTCCAGGCCAAGGCCGTTGGCGACAGAGTCGTGCTAAGAGCAACACCACAGAGTGGCATTCTGGAACTGGAAGCCATGGTGAGGGGCAGTGAGGACCCTGTTGTGGTGGGACGGGAGACGGTGACAAGCTTTAGCATACGAACGACATGGGGACAGCGGTAATTATAAGGGTTGTGGGGTCGGCTGGCTTCTGTTAACGGCTCTCACAGTCTTAAAGAAAGAAAATATCATGCTCAGGTCCGTCACATGTCATTTCTGGGCCCATCACGAAGACCCAAATCCAATAAAGCACTGTTTAAAGAGACCCCCTCCTCCTGCAGCCAGAGGGAACCTGGTGCCGAAAATCAGGCTCAGGATTGAACTCGAGGGATGGCAGGGCCCCAAAGGGGCCAAAATCCCAGCCTAAACAGACCTACGCAGGGTCAGGCCCAGGCTGGGGATGGAGTGGGACCCTGAGACCTGAGCTGGGGACACATGTGGGTGAAGGATTTTGAGGACCTTGGAGGCCCAGACACGTCTAAAACGTTGTGCACTGAACTCCCGCAACTCAGCAAAGCACTTGTGGGCCAGTTGGGATGAGGGGCCAGGTCCGGGCTGCCTCCAGGAAAGGCCTCCGTGGTCCCCCCCTTTCCCTGTCGCCTGTTCAGGGCCAGACTGAGAAACCCCAGCCCCTGCTGGGTCACGTGCAAGTTCACCAGGTCTGAGGCTCGCCTCATTTCCAATGAGGCGATTAATCGCATCCAATGAGGATTAATCGCATCTTGAGCAGAAAGACAAACTGGGAAGATGGGGACTGGCCTGGGCTGAGACGCAGCTAGATGTGGGTTCTGATCCCACTCGGGGCCCAGGCAGGCCCTGTCAACGCCGCCCATTGTTGGGACACTTCGAGAAACTCATGGGTCCAAGAGGCACAGTCAGGGACTGAGGAGGTATTTGTGCCGGGCCCTGTAGACATGGGGCTGCGGCCGTAAAACGGTTCTTGCCTCTCTCTCCAAAGCACAGTCCGGTGGGGAAGACAGGCGCGCGTGAAACAAACCAACTCCCAGTAACGAGCTCTGTTTGGGATTTCACTACATGCCCGGCTTTGTGCGGAGCTCTTCCACTGCCAAGGATCACAAGACCCTTCCTCAAAACGTCCCCAAGATGTCCCGCCCGCCTTTTACAAAGGGGGACAAGGTGGCAGCGACCTTACTCTGAAGCATGTGCACTGCCCTCGTACATGACCTACTTAGAGCAAGAGAGCCTCAGCAGAAGAGCCGTGTGGCCCGATGGGGAGATCCGGGAAAGGCCGCCAGACTGGTCACAAGGCAATCCGCACGGCCAAAGAGCGCCATCAGGGGCGCCTGGGTGGCTCAGTCGGCTAAGCGTCCGACTTGGGCTCTGGTCACCATCTCGTGGTTCGGGAATTCGAGCCCCCGCATCGGGCTCTCGGCTGTCAGCGTAGAGCCCGCTTCGGTTCCTGCCTCCCTCTCTCTCTCTGCCCCTCCCCAGCTTGTGCTTTCTCTCTGTCTCAAACATAAATAATCACCAAGAAAACAAACAAACAGACAACAAAGAGCAGAAGAAACGTCAACCGTGGGTTAGGTTATTATTAAGCATCTGTAGCGAGGGCCCACGTTTCCGGAAATGACTCGAAAAGCCGCAGATCAAAAACCAGCATGAACTCAGGCCACTGCCCTGTACTCAGGCAGTCAGGGAGCAGCCCCTGACCTCGGCAGCTGACCCCCGGGCTCCAGAGCCCCCGTTCTGCCCCCAGAATCTGGGGAGCCGCAACACTCCAGTCTCAGCGTTTCCCCCTTTCAAAGCCTTTCTGACGAGCGAGCCCTGGAGGATGGGGGTCCCCGTTGTGACGTGCTCTGGCCCAGGGTGGGGGGGTGGGGCTGTACTCGCTGGGCCCCAGAGTTTGGAACCAGAGAAACCCACGCAAGCTGGGTTCAGCAAACGGCGGGGACTTATCTATGAGGTTTCAGGGTTGTCCACCCTGGGCTGGCAGGAAGGGCCGGGTCTGGGGAGACTGGGGGTGGGGCCGGGGGCCACCGGCGTTGGCTCTCTCTCCTCGTCCGGGCGCCGCTCTGCCAGCTGGCTTCGTTCGACTCTCTCTCTTTGCCAAGCGGGGCCTTCTGTTCCTCGGAGGCCGTGGCTGCCCCGAGCAACTGAGTCCACTCTTCTGGCTCTGGCTCAGCCACGGGAGAGGCCAAATGGCTGGGTCCTTCCCTCTCCTCCCCTTCCCAGATCCAAATGTTTGGGGGAGAGAATGGACGGGCCAGACTGGGTCACGTAGCCAACCCGTCTGATCACCACAGCCAGGGCGCGGGGAAGAAGTGTGGTTCGGAGGGGTCTTTGGCTCCCCCAAAGCAGCCACGGCCGGCGGCCTGCCTCGGCGTCCCCCTCTCATCGTCTCTCCTCCCCACCCGCGCCCCTGCCGAATGCCCGCGCCTCCTTAACGTTCCACTGACCCCCAGTCTCAAGCAATCTGTAAGGCACCAGCGAAAGCTCCGCCCCACCATGATATTTTCACCCTTAGGATTATCGTTATTGCCTGCTATCTGTTGAGGTTTTCCTACACTCTAGGCACTGCCCTCACTACCTCATTTAATCTTTACAATGACGCTGCGAAGCAGACACCTTTATTTTGGTAATAATGAGCCAAGAATAAGAAGCCGAAGGGGGCGCCTGGGTGGCGCAGTCGGTTAAGCGTCCGACTTCAGCCAGGTCACGATCTCGCAGTCCGTGAGTCCGAGCCCCGCGTCGGGCTCTGGGCTGATGGCTCGGAGCCTGGAGCCTGTTTCCGATGCTGTGTCTCCCTCTCTCTCTGCCCCTCCCCCGTTCATGCTCTGTTTCTCTCTGTCCCAAAAATAAATAAAAAACGTTGGAAAAAAAAATTAAAAAAAAAAAAAAAAAAGAATAAGAAGCCGAAGGACAGACAGGTGAAGCCACGTGCCGGTGTCGCCCTGGAGGCTGCCGGGATGCGGAGCAGTGAAGCTTCTGGTTCGTTAGGCAGGCCCGCCCCCGCCCGAGGAGAATCTCAGGGCCAGGACTGATAATGTGAGGCTGTGGCCTGGCTGGAGGGGATCGCAAGAGAGGGACCATGGGTTTCCTGGACGGGGTGAACTTGGGTCTCAGAGGATGAGTCAGATCTGGACGGCAGAGGGGCAGTTGGGAGGGAGGGTTGGGGCAGGGCCGTGGGGAGCCGGCTGGGTGGCCTGGGCTGACTGCAGAGCAAAGTCAGGAGCCGACGCTTGGGCGAGTGGGCAGGGAACAGGTCCCGGCGGGTCTTACTTCCTGCTCCCCCCCTGTGAAGCACACGCAGCTGCTCCTGGCACTGGCTGCGTTGAGTTGACCTGAAACAGCAAGTAAAGGTGGCCCAGAGCAGGAGGAAAGCGGTTTTAGGCTGCTGTGGCCGAATGGGACCAAATCCTCCCCCGTCTGTGCCTGTAGTTTCTCTCCGGGCAGGTAGGTCCCCCACAAGTCAGGGATGGTGACAAGAATCACTCTGCCTCGTTTCCAGAGGAAGAAACCAAAGCACAGAGAGGTGGGGCGAGTTGTCCAATGTCACACAGCAAGTGGAGACTCAAACGCAGTCAGTGGTCCTTGCTGCAAACCCAAGAGGCCCGGGAGGAAGGGGTTCGGGTCAAACCTGGAGACAGGTTTCCCGTGTCCAGAAGAGATCACGGATACTGAAACACTGACCGTTAGAGGCAGAGAGAAGTGTCTGGGGTCCACCCAGAACTGTGTTTGAATCCTGGCTCTGTCACTGCCTAGGTGAGGACGACGGCAGTGCCTCGGAGCGTCCTTCAGAGGCTTGAAGGCGTCAGTGGATGCACGTGACCATCACGGCGAGGCAGCGCCCGATAACTGCGCGCGTTGTTTCCTACCGTCAAGGTTGCCAACGTCGCTAAACCTACGGGCCTCAATTTCCTCAACTGCAAAAGAGGGGTGATGTCCGAGAGGTGTCGTGAACAAAGCCATCGGGAAGAGCAAACAAGAAAACACGCCCAGGTCCTCCGTATCCAGGTGCCTGGCTCCACATGCGTTCTTTCCTTCCTCTCTCATGTCAAATCTACGCTTGCAGCTTACGTGACGTGCCGGTCTAAGAAAAGCACCGCTTGTGAACTTGAACGCACAGGCGTGCGCTGAGGAAGCATAGAGCACTTTCCCTCTCTCCCCGGTGACAGAGCCCCCACGGGCTTCGGGGTAAAACAGTCGTGTGCTGAGTGGGTGTACTTTTGCTGCCAGAGGGATTGTACTAGCTTCTGCTTCCAGAATTCTCTCGGGGCCTGGAGATTGCAGTTAATGGGGCAGCGGCCAATGGGGCTGGCCACACATCTGGGCAGTTGGGACCTGTCTGCAAGGAGATCCTTTTGGTTGGGTGAACCAGGGGTGAGGCAGAATGTTCTGGGTTACCGGACAGGGATAACATCCCTCTCCCAAAGACTGAGCAACAGATCGGAACCCCACCCCCACCCCCACCATTTTTTTTTTTTTTTTTTCCTTTTTAAACACACCACCAATTAACGAGTACTTATTATGTCCCGGGCACTGTGCCACACAGTTCACATCTATCCTGGCCACCGCCCTCTGTGCAGCCTTGGGCAAATTACTTAACATCTCTGGGCTTCATTCTCCTCACCTGTGCAATGGCCTTCACGCTGTGCCTGCCTCCTAGGATTCTGATGAGGTTTAAATGAGCTCATACAAGACAGTCGCAGTCTCAGCAAATGTTAGCTGGACATGGGTACGAATGGTGTATGTTCGTCAGTTTAAACTTCACGCTGACCCTGAAAGGCAGGAACGATTGTCGTCTTCCTCATCTCACTCCTGGTTGTGGGGTGAGGGCGGCGGGGGGAGGGGGGGGAAGGGGGGAGGCTGGAAAAGGAAAACCCAGACACGAAATTAGTGGCCCCTGAGTGCTGACCTGACCACAGGCAAGTGCATGTAGACGACATGTGATACATCAGGTTCCTGGGC